AAAGTATCAAAGTACGGTTCGAAAAAGTTTGCACTCGATGAGTTCTATCCTATCTAGATTTGAGTTAGGTGCTTAATATTATAGAATATGTTATTGTTAAACTTTTTTTTTTCTATCACGTTATATCATTAATTTATTCAAATATTATTATTTTGTTTTTATTTGTCAAGGCAAGTTTAATTGAACGACGTGAAAAAGCTCAACAAAAACATGATGAAGCTAAATCATTAAAAGATGGTATTGATCGTCGTAGTCGTATAGTAACAAATATGCTTCGAAAATATTTTTCTAATGAACAATATGATGATTATGAACATTTTATACGAATGAAATCAACATTATTAATGGATGCAAAAGATATTGAAGAAAATATATTAATTATTGAAAAACAAATTGAAATTTTAACTCAAATATCAATATCAGATTCTCAAAATTTACAAACATCGAATAATACCGAAAGTTTACAAACGAATTCCTTTAAAGCTATATCGAGCATGGCCTAGTCGTTTGTTTCTTTTTCTGTTTTTGTCTTTTATTAATAAACATTTATTTTTTCAAATCGATAAATTCCATAATTATGTTTATTTGTCTTTATATACTCTAGACAAGCATATATAAAAAATAGATATTTGCGTTTTTTGTCATCTTTTCTTATTGCGTTGTTTTGTTTTGTTTTTTTTTCTCGATGTTGACCGGTTCTTCTTTTTTTGTCGATGTTGTGCGTAAAGATAAGAAAAAAAGAAACTAATGTGAATAGAATTGACAGATTTATATAATAGATTATTGCATATTATTGAAACGATGCAGATGTCAAAGGTCTAAGAGTATATGATTGAATCATAACTATTATAAATGGAACGACAAATGGATGGTTAATAATAACAAAAAAAAGGAAGATGTCATCACATCTGTTTCTGAGATATTTCTTAAATGAATTTTAACTCATATATGTGCCAACTTGTGAACATAGAACAAATTCTAAATTGATGTTATATCTATGAAATGATAAAATTATTCCCTTACTAGGCACATTACTTGATGACTACTACTATGAGATAATGAGGACTTGGTTTCTTTTTTTCAAATGTATAGATAAAGAGAAGAAAAAAGTTGATTAATCGATAAAGAAAAGATGAATTTTGTCACGTCGTATTTGAAGTAACTGTTATGATAAAACGTGCGCTAGTTAATTAATATTTTTCAAAAATGTGTCGTTTGTAATTTATCTGAGTTATTTTGTGGAATAGAATTTTACAACTACGAGCATGAATGTATGT